GTGATGCGTCTAGTCCTCTCTTTGGTGCAGACTGAATTCTATCAGTCAGGTTGTAATGTGGCCACCATTCTAGGTAGCTCGCCATCACGGTGTACATTGTTTGTGATGATATTAGATGGTTGGAGGCAATCGGAAGGAAGCCTCTCAGAAGGGACATGAGTCCCTTCAAGGTTGCAGATACGCCTTGCTGACGAGTGCCAACTAGCACGAAACCCAGGTGCAAGGCTTCCTTCCGATTGCCTCCAACCATCTAACTAAAATGAGCAATATATTATGATGAATGTTTTAAAAATCTCCAGCTCGTAAAAGTCAAACATATTTCTTAACTTGTTAGTTTTTCCAAGTTTAACTAGAATCCCTACAGTCGGTAAAAGTTGTCTAGATTTTACTATATTCCTTCAGCATGGGATGGTATTATTACCAGGGCTTTCTTTTTCTTCTAAATAAGTCATGTTTATGTTCAAGTATAAAATTACTACTACAAAGTCAAAGGGAATAAAATTATTGATTCCATATGCAAATTTTAAGAGACATAATAAAATAGTTCATGTCGTCGTGTTTTGTTCTCCTTTCTGGCTCTGCGTTTTTTGCATTTCGCATTCTGCATCCACTCTCCCCCCCCCCCGGTTGCTTACAGAAAACAATAAAAATTTTTTTTAACAATCATAGGGATATACGCAAAACTGTAATAAATGAGGCAGTACCGGAGACTTGGTTTATGGAAACATTGAAAATAAAAGTAGAATAGGCGAATCGGTTTTGGCTACACACGTAGATAGTCAATTAGTCAGAGTCAGTTTGAAAATAAGGCAGATTTATTGATAGATTTTCCAAATATATATTCTAGCAAATTAATTTTTATGGAATAAACAGTAACTGCAAAGTATGGCTTTTGAATAATTTTTTGTAATCACTACTAATTTCAACAAACAAAGCCATGGGTGTCAATTACTTCTCTCTTTAGTCAGCAAGTTCACTGTGTATTTTGTGAGTGATTTGGATTGTAATACTTCATGCATTTGATCTATGCAAGCAGCTGTTACTGAGTAAATATTTCAAAAGAAATATTATGACGACACTCGGCTAAAACTTCCCTAATGTGACTTATATACTGTAATGTGAAGCTTTCTGGTAAATGGATTAACGTCAACATCTCATGGAAAAGTTAAACTTTAAGCACCACCAACTACTAACGAATTGCGACCGCACCAATGACCTTGAAGCGCTCACTGAGCAAGTTAGTGAAACCTGGCAAATAATATTGTCATCATCAATAAAATATGCTCACCGAAGTGTTAGGTTATTAAATGGGATATCTGGCGAGTTTCCGCTTGGGTTTGAGGAAGATTAAGTTCGGGTTTAAGCCAAAGACAAATTAGGGTTAGATTAATCTAATAAAGGAGACATCAGGGTTGGTTAGAGTTAGATTACAGTTAGTTTAGGGATATTTTCACGTTAGGGTTAGGTTCAGGAAAGATTAGGATTACTGTTAGGGTTGGAAGACCTAAATAATTACATGCATAGAATGTAGTTGAATTACTCTTTTTATATAAGAATAGAACTTGTGCACTGTGGTAGAGTATAATTCCATTTTGGGTTAAATTCATTTTGATGAAGTCCTACAGTGTTATACAGTAATATTGACTGATGACGTTTCGAGCACAGTTTATTGCTCAGTAAATATTACTGCTTAACACTGTGAGACTTTATCAAAATAAATTTTACCCGCAGTGGAATTACACTCTATTGACACTCCGACCTAAAACTGAGAGCTATTTTTGTCACATGTGCGAGGAAGCTATCCTTTGCAACAGTTTTCTACAGTTCTTAAGCATTTTTTTCATAAATATATGCATTCGATACACAAAAATGCCTCCTTCACGTGGTTGGTGCGTTGGAGATCATTTGCTGATTGGTAGTTAGTGGTGCTTAAAGTTGAACTTGTCCCATCTCACGTCTAACCAGTAGATTACGATTAACATAATTTAAACCGAAGAAGTCTACCTGTTAAAGTCACTGCACACATAAACAATGTACTTCAGGTGAAGAGTTGATTGTCAGAATAGCGGGAAACCAAATTTTCTGTTTGTTGGCGCATTTCAACATGTCTCTTTAGAATTTAAGGTTTCCATGATCTCATGTCGAGAAAGGGAACTACAGTAAAGCGAATAAGAAATACACCGTCTTCAAAATATCCTACATTTACCTTTGGAATATTTTCAGTGAGAAGAATGAAGGTGTACTTTATGGCTTTACTAACTGGATCTCAGTTAAGTACGTTGCAAACAAATCATTTGAACACTATGTACTATTTCATTTTGAAGAAGCTGTACAATATTCATGGCTTCTTAAGAGCCTGTTGTTCTCTAAAATGCTGATTATCCTCCTTCTTCTATGGTCACTAAATTATCTCAGCAAACACAGTCAAAACTTCTGCGGTATATGTGAACTAAAAATGTTCCACTTTTCATAATAAACTTGTTTATATAACAAGGTGGTGTGTGATGCAATATTACTCACTGGGTTACGTTTTAACCACTGCCTGTAAGTATATAATGACAGTTACACAGTTCATTAGTAACATTTTTTCATTATTTTGGTAACAGTACTAAACATATTCACAATTTTGTCTGGAGTTCTAATCAGAAGTCATGACCAGTGAGGTTGACAGTGAGAAATAGTACCTGCCGATGACATTAGTTGGTGGTCGCACTAAAGTCACAAATCAGTAGAATTTAGAATTCATGAGCTGGCCATTGAGTTTGGTCCAAGTAGCTGAATGGTCTGCAAGCTTGCCTTGTAACCGGAAGGACTCAGGTTCGCAACTCGGTGTGTGTGTACTGTCTGTGAGTCGCAAACTAGGACGAAACAGCTGTCCAGTACACCTGGGTTTTTGAATGGTTCTTTAACTGATAATTATCCATGATCAGAACTTGAAGCAAATCAAATACATACAAATAAACTCCTGCAAATATCCATAGAAGTTGAACTGTACTGTTGTACTAAATAGTGCGAATTTTTCGACCTTCAGTAATGTGGCTCTCTCTCATTACAACTTTTAGTTGCGTAGTGGTTGGTGCGAAAATAACCTATGTGTAACTCAAACAATACATTTCATATTGTGACTAATGCCTGATGTATAATTAATGAAATAATTGTGCTTATACTGCCGACAATACGCTTAAACCTATAAGATTTACTTCAGAGCAATACTTTAGACTTCAGTAACGTTTTATGGGCATTTCCGCTATCAATTATGATATTCTTATCACATTTCTTATCTCTGCTTCTAGCTGTATCATTATTCCCACCCATGAGATCGTATCATCCTATAAATTTTTAGCAAGAGCTAAGGCATAGTTATTTACTGACGATATTAGAATTAGAAATTAATTTTTACATATATGATAAAATGTGCTGCAATTTAACGTATTTTGAACAACTGTTTTAGTTTTAGGTAATAAGTGTTTGGTGTTTTTGATCCATACTCAAGAATTCATTAGTACGAAGTTTTTTTAAATTTCCCAGTTAGCAAAAACAACCAATATTGTTTCTACTGATGTTTACTGATGCTATTTAATATTTCTAATCGCTTCATCAAATTAGCATTAAAGAATTATTTACAAAATCTCAGCTTATATACAGTAACTCAATTATCGTTCTTCAACGCGATGTAATTTCATATTGTCAGGCTGGTCAATTGACAAAGTTAACAAACCGTGTGCACACTGTTATATTTGATAAGCGTATGAAATTATAAAATACAGCGTATGTTTGCGTAATGAAATTGCTAATCACATTTGTGTTGATTTTTTCACTCACTGGAGGGGTGGAGTGTTGAAACCACGTCAATTTCTGTCTTAGTCCGTCGTTTCTATCCAGACAAATTGGGTTCCATTTAATACTAAGTGTTTCTCATATAGATTAGAAATACCAGAAGATATCAAAACAGTACTCAACATACACAACATCAAAGTTTCCTTCAAAGCATCAGATGTGCGGAAAATAAACCTTGTCTATGTAAAAGGCTGAATTCCGAAAGACTGAAACTCTAACTGTGTTTATAATATAAAATGCTTGAGATGTGATGCAATATACATTAGAAAAATGTCACAAGGAGTCAAGATCAAAATGAAATGAACATCGTACAGCCTCGATTCCATCACCGAGAAGTCAATTTGTACTAGAAAATCATGAGAAAACATCTGTCTTCAGGTTTTAGAATCAGACCACAAGACTGATGTTGGCGATACTGAAATCAACCAGAAAAATTTCACAAATCACAAAGAACGTCTCATATCACGAAAAGAAACACTTTATTTAGCTGAAACAGGATCATATTGTCTTTTAGTTAGGACAGTCTACTTGAATTCGATGTTTTACTAGTTCGATATCTGCATATTGTTGTTTTTAACATATGAGAAGGTAAACTGTAGAGTCAGATGAGGAAGCTGTAGAAAAATGAAGCTTTGGTAATTTGATAACTGTGGATATTTACACCCTCAGAGAAGTAAATGCTTCGATTAAATTCGCACTTTTATCATAATTCCTTGGTTGAAAGTCGTTAGAATAATTCTATGGATTGCTTTGAAAATGGGTCACCTGTCAAAATATCAATCGTGCTAATACAGCTTTGCATCTGCAGTCTTCTTTGAAGTTGGCACAGAAAGTTATATCAATGGCTGGTTCTCAAGTGGAAATTTTAAAAAATTTTATTCTACAGATTACCACTAAAAATCTTCCATTATTAACAGGGGAAAGTGGGAAAATCGTGTATTAGAAAGCAATGACTCAGTCTGTTTCAAATACGTAAATAATGTCTGAGTATGACATGGGCTGTTGTAACCCCTCCACTACAATTGCAACTAGATCTACAAACTACAGTACGTATTAAGAAAGGCAGAAGCTTATTTAAACAGGATTTACACTTTAGGCTAACTCGAAATTTGCTGATGAAAATTAAGATGTTGCAACTTATTAAATTTAATTTTTTTCACTAGATCTTCGAAGGAAATTCAGATTCTTATACAGTGAAACATAATTACTTTGATGAACCGATCCGAGCAAGATATGTGAAAATTCATACCTATACATGGCATAATCATCCAAGTCTTAGAGTTGAATTGATTGGTTGTCAAAGTAAGCGTATTAATTTCAGTATTTTTTTGCATTGATATTATTATTATCTATTTCTCGTAAGTTGGTAAGTTTCTCTTTATTTAGACAGTTCAGTGTAACTGTAGAAGATCGCAATAGTCCTTGTTAGAACACTCTGATGTTCAGAGTGATAAGAAACTTTGAAGAAAATTCTGTGTAAATATACTTTCAGATATAACTAGACTATTAGTGTTTAAGGTCACACGGTAATTTATTTTTTTTAAATTTTGTATTTCCCACTCGTTGATAACATTGGTCCAGAATTTTTTGTCACTGTTGACATGTCGGCTCTTAGTGTGGATGATTCGATGACCTTTGAGGATTAATATGATCTTACATGCTGAATAGTGACTAGGGGTGCGACCCAGGGTGCTCATTTAGTCCTGTTTGAGAGTGGTCGAAACTAGAACGTATCGCTTTAAATGACGATCTCAAAGTATCCATACTAACACCCAACATGTCAGCAGACAGTGAACATTTCGGTATAGCGGGAAATGCAAAATTTAAAAATTAAGCAAATTATAATTAATATCCTTTGCACAATAAGTGGTCCCCATGCCCTAACTGTTCTAGTAAATAATGCTTTGCCGTTTCACATGACTAGGGGTGGGTTTGAGTCTCAGGAGGAACACCCTAAATCACTAAGGAATGAAAGTGCGTCAAGTTGAAGAGTCCCGAAGCGGAAGAAATGAGCACCGTAAATTCTATTGCAATTTATCGTCCCCTAAGTAAAATAACAAGGTAAGTGTTTAAATGATCGAAACGCAACAGCCTTATAGTATTAATATTACTGTAACAAAATGTATTTTACGCTCAGTAGGGGGTAATAGCTGAGAATTTATGTCGCTTTTACCACTTTTAATCTCACTGATGAAATTTAATTAATATTCGACTAGGAATAAGTTGAAATGAGTTTAAGCTTCTCTGTATAAAATAGATATTTCATATCTTTAGTATTTCTTGAAGAGATTTTCAGCACGACACTTGATAATGTCTTGTCTCATTTCTGTATACAAAGGAACAACTTCACTCACTGGGAATTGCAGGTACATTCAGATGACGAATTCCAAAAGGGATGAAATATGCGTCTAGGATTCCTCTACTAGTCAACATCCTCCAAATTACATCATGTTTTGATCATGCAACACTGAGTGTTATTTTTAGAAACAGTAAGCCCGGTCTTATCTAGTCATATCATTTGACACTAACATAGGGATTTGTAAGGATATTTGACTCATCACGAAAGTATTGGGGCATGTTTAATGGAGTTATAATGAAACTGGTAGAGTGTAAGTACTTTCGAATTCCATCTAAGAAGTGTCATGCTGAGCGCTTCTGCGATTACATGTAATTGTGAAGGAAATTCTCCTGCATCAGTTTTTCTTAAAACTTGCAAGATATCTTGGAATCACTGTACTTTGCCACTTCATTTGAAAATGCATACACTGTATGCTATCACAGCTTTGATACCGTGGTTTTACTAACTGGAATGCATTTTAAGGTGGAGATAAAATTCAGAAGAAGTGCTAGGCGAAAAGAAATTAATGATTAATTAGTTATGATTGTATTACGCTAGTCTAAGTGAATTTCCAATATTTCATCTATTAGTTATTCTATGTTCAAATTTCTTTCTTGAGTTTGGTATACCGAAAGTGATTTAGTCATGAAAATGTTAAAAAGTGTTTCGCCTTTAACTTGATATGACGAATTTATAGTATCCCGATTTTCCTTATCACAATTTAATTGTTACTGCTGTGGACTTTTACCGATATTTCACGCGAACAGCTTTTTCCGTGACTGGTTGACAAATTTGCAAATGCAGCCTTAGCATATTGTGAAAATTCGCATTACCTTTTAATAGAAAAATGTATATATTATCCAAAAACTAATAGTCTTCAAATCCTCTTCCAAAGTTTTTCGAGTAAACTCCAGTGAAGGAAGTAATGCAGTGTAGCGAATTTTAGTACTAAGTATAAACCGTTTGTGTGATCTTGTGGACAACAACTCTAAACCCGAATGTGTTACCTTAACTGTTAATTTCTTAGACTCGTGATAGGCGGATGCCGGTAAATATTCATATTTTTTTAAGACATACAACATAAAATTAGCAGTTTTTAAGCTAAAAAAACATTTTTCCCTCATGTGGTCCACTTGATTAATGTGAACGAAGCAGGAAAAAAGACGCTTGCAAAATTAAAGAAACTATTCTGTTTCATGGATTTGCCTTAAGTGCTACCAACCAAGAGGCATCCATTGTAGTGCCTAATTCCCATATAAGGCATTTTACTAAATTCTTAAATCATGCTTTAATTTGTATTATATATTTGTAGCATGCAAACATCTCATTGGTATTCCTCCTTATGCTCGATTCGCTGCTTCAAGTTCTCGGGGGAAAAGATCTCAGCGTTCCTGTACTCCAGAATATGGTCACTATCTTAGTAATAAAGCATGGTGTGCCCAAAGACAAGATGGTAAGTTGAATATACATATATGTTTCACTAATTTTTAACGGTGAATTAGAGGGAACTACTAAATTTATGTCCGCTTTATGTATTGTATGAAAGGATTAACCTATGTCTCTTCATTGTTCACTACAAGTCTTTAATTTAATTCTTACATCAAATAGAGATCAGGTACTCGTTATTTATCTTCAAGTCACTTCTGATTTTCCTTTTGACTGATTGTACCGAAATGTTCAGCTTCTGTTGAAATGTCAGCTTTCAGTACAGACACTTCGACGATGTCGGAGAATTAAGTGAAAGTACCTTGGTGGTGGAAATCAGAATCCACATTTTTTTACTATCTAGTACTCGTCAATTGGATGTTCCTGTATTCCTCAGTAAGTGATGATATTCTCACTGAGACGTTAAAGTCAAAACTGACCTTAAAACAAATAATGATTGACACCCGTTGCATGAGTGTTGGTTCTTGTGGCTCAGGTTTTGAAATTGTGGGTACTCAGTCTGAATCCCAGTAGTAAGGCCACCACTCACTTAGATAGTAGGTACATCCAGATGATGAGTTTCAAACGGGACAATATGAGCATCCTAGGTGCCACCAATAGTCACCATCTACTTAAATACTTTAATGTATTCGTTGCTTGTAGACATAAATCCAATATGGAACTTTGATATTCACCATTCTGAGTATTCAATTATTATTGGAACAAAATATTTATAGCTGAGAAAAAATTTTGTCTATTATTATTATACTTGTTTCTGTAACAATGAACTTTTAATTTTCTTTGGCGGTTCATTTGTTTTGAAGGAAGACAGGCAACTCATTCACCTTTATAGTGGTCGGTTGAAAACCGTAAGCTAATTATCTTTAAAGTGTCTTCATTTGAATTCTAAAAGCCATTAAAAGTAATGAAATAAGAAGGTCACATTTCATTTATTTGCTCACAACATACATAAATTAAAATCGTTCACCTTAAACGACATAATCGGTCAATTAGTACTACTGGGGTTAACTAAAAACACAATAAACAGAATATGACTCAGTGTCCTGTATACCTGATAGCTTAAAACTCGAATTTTGTCCATAAATACAAAAAGTAAAATGTATCATATAATAACAGAAATCTAAACATATAATAGTAAATCTAGGATTACTTACAAGATAGCGGAAAGCTCTAAAGAAAGTAAAGCGTTGATCAAGCCAAAATTTGATCAAAAAATATATGTGTATACATCTATACATGCATATGCATATCCAATCTTCAATGAATCAATTGACCCGCTGTTAATCATTATTATTATTGTTTCCTTTAGTTCCTGTTGTGTTTTTCCTTCACGTTCCCCAGTGGAACATAGGGCTTCAAGCTAGTGGCTTGAAGTTTCTGTAGCAGTGCTTATTTTACAGGATGGGGTTGCTAGCCTTATACCCAACCTTTCCTCTTTACCAGCTTATATTTCTGGCTTAGCGAGGTAAAGGAGTGCGTCGGCCGGGGATCGAACCCCGGACCATATGCATGGTCGGCGAGCGTTCCTAGAGGAACATTAAGGCTTCAGCCACACGTCTCCATTGCGTTCACTTCTCTGACAACGTTTTCACCTGGGTCCACGTCTGCCCACATGCTTTCATCTCCTCTTCACATGACCCCCTCCATGTCACCCTTGCACTGACGACCAGCTCGCCGCTTCCCCTTTGGGTCCCATTCGAGCTATGGCCTGTCTAGTGACGTCACTTGATGGTTTCCTCAGAGTATGGTTATTCCACCTCCATTTCTTCCTGCTTGTTTGTTGCACAATCGGTTCCTGGTTGGTTCGCTGATTGCCAGAGATCCCTATTGCTGAGCTGTTGATCATACACAGACAAAAAAGAAATTTTTGGTGAAAGCTGACAAAATAAATCTATCATTTACGGCATGTCTTTGACGATCATTCATCAGAAGTCACTCAAGTTATTCATCCACTGAAGGTGTAATGCAGTCTGTGGAATTCCTTTTAAGACAGCTCCATTTTACGGTGATAAACAGAAGGCATAAACTGTTGTTAATTGCTTTGTTTTTTATACTTCAAGCAATAGGTAAAAAGTCAACCTGTCATAAACCAGTATCAGTGAGTAGCCTTCATGTTGATGGTTTTCACTGTACACTTTTTAACAGTGATAACCTACACCAATTTATATCAGACAACTAAGTTTTTACGTATTAAACTTCACTTCGTTAAACTCATGCTCTACCAATGCAGAATAAATAGGTTACGTATGACTTTTATCGTCATTATTGAAGAGTTGAAAATAATAAGTTATAGTGAATCACCGAATTTAAACTAATAGTACAAATTATTTGATAGATATATAAAATGACTCCATTATCATTCGTCTCTAGTGCATTCTTCTCAGTTATGAAATTTGTAGTTTGAGGGTGTATTAGGTGAACATTAGATGTTTTTAAACTACTCCATCCGCAATAATTAGATGCTAAATGATAAGTAGACGGACGTGCTACCTCGACTGAAAGATGAGGTACCTAGACTAGCCACTTCTAATTGTATCTACCGATTCAACTGCACTTGTGGAGCGAGTTATGTTGGCCGTTGCTCTAGGAACTTGATTTTTCGTGATCGAGAACATATCCCACTATGACTAAGTAAAGATGTAGTTAAAACTATTAACAGCTCGATATTAGATCATCTGGTGCAAACCGGTCACAAAGCCAGCGTAGAAGAATCCTTCTCTATAATATACCGGGTGCCTAACGAACTACCAAAATCGTCGAAGCACCGCATGCTCCAAAGAGCAGAGGCTATTGCAATTCGCCTCAAACAACCAGTGCTCTGTGTCCAAAAGAAACAAGTCCAGCCCCTACTACTGCCCTGACCCTCAGAAGAGGCTATAAATTCATGAAGTTGTAATATTACCTTTCCTAACTTTTCTGACATTCAGCTTATTTTATGTTGATGCTATTCAGCTGTAATCTATCAAATATTATTGATTCGATGTTATTTAAACATTAATGTTGTTCATAACACTAATTCATTGATTCATTCACTATAATGTATATATAATTGTAGAGCCTGATGATGAAGTTATCGAAAAGAATACTCTTTGTTCAGTATCCATTCTTTTGAAAATTTTAATGGGTATTTTTAATCAGTTAAAATTATATTTGTAAAATCTCAGTGAAATTAAACTGAGTAGTTCCAGTGTTTCATTGAGCGGACTTTTCCGAACTTCTTTAATCAAAATTAAAATAACAAAGGTATATTTAAAAAGATACATCTTGTCTTTAATAACCGTCTCCAGTCATGTGCGTCATGAACAAACGATAAGATATAATAAAGAAAACTGAATGAACTGCAGTCAAAATCTGACCACAGACTTATTATTATTAGTCTAATTTTGTTAAATACTGTAAATAGTGTGTGGTGTCAGCTGATGCATGATGTGTCCTGATTGATTGTGCGTCGGTAGTACAGTGGTTAGGACTCCCGCCGACCATGCACATGGTCCGGGGTTCGATTACCTGCCGACGCACACCCGATATCTATAGTCGGCCTGAATTTGGGCTACCGATATCCATGCTGAAAATTCCATACTTCTACCAAAAAGTACTGTGTGGAATCAAGCTGTAAACAAAAATAAAAAATAAAATAATAAAAATATGTCTCACTAATTTATCATGCTTAATCTAATTTCCTGACTGTTAATATCTTCTCGTGGAAAGACTGTCAAAAGATTTGCAATTGTTTCCTCATGCACAAATATACACCACTGTTAAAAAAATGTATTTTTCCGAATTGATCACGGACTGATATCAGTTAGAGAACCATTGAAAACCAGGGAGTACTGGACAGCTGCTGTTTCATCCTAGTTTGGGAATCATCGGCAGTACGCACCCGCTGGGATTCGAACCCGGGACCTTCCGGTTACAAGGCAAGCTGGTATGCCATTCAGCCACTGGGACCCGATTCAATGGCTCATGAATTCTAACTTCTACCAATTCGTGATTTAGCGCGACCCCAACCATTGTCGTTGGTGGGTACTGTTGATGATTCCCAAACTAGAATGAAACAGCAGCTGTCCAGTACCTCCTGGTTTTCAATGGTTCTCTAACTGATATCAGTCCGTGATCAACTCGGAAAAACGTAACTAACTCTTACAAACCAAACTATAGAAAAAAAGTATATCTATGTATATATAATTCAGTTATCCATAGCTTCGCAGTATCACTCCTAAATTCTGAGTTTGGATGCAACACTTTCTTCGGTCCCTTATCCCTCTCTGTATTTGTTTCATATAATTTGCTATTGGCCTCGACAAGGCGTATTGAATACCCGTTCTCTGTGAAAGCTTATTTCATGTGTTTAAATCTATCATCGACATTGTCTCCATCATAAGCTCTCCAGACCCGTGTTGAGAGAGAGGCAGAACGCATAAAATTCCTTTTTCTGTCTATGGAAACAAAACTGTAAAAGCTGATCAGTTGGCCCGTTCATGTTCATTTTCTGCAAATCGATATTTTCAGTGATCTATCAGCACTGTTTGTGAGTAGTATATTCATGCATCATTCATAAGTCTAATCAAATTTTGACTCATAATTATCTACACCAATACTATCTCACTTTAATGATTCCACGCACTGTTAAACGTTAACATATAAGCAAAAAAGTGTTATTCTAAAATGACTAATCATTGAGTTTGAGAACCATTGAAAACCAGCAATTACTGGACAGTTCTTTAGTTCTTGCTTGAGACTCTCCAGCAGTGCTCACCCATGACCCCACCAGGGATCGAACCCAGGACCGATTGAATTTAAACTATCTATTGCCAGGCTATTTAAGTGCATTAGAATAATTGTATCTAAATACTAGCTCACTCATAATCCTATGTCCTTTGAATAACTATGCAACATGTCATTTACTGTCAGTCCCGAGGACCTTCAGTGCACAAGGCAAGCACGTTACCCATTCAGTTACTAGGATACTTAAGAATAAACTAAAACAATAGATGAATGTTTGCAAAG